AACCCGGATCTTTTCTTGGTGCCTCCACCACGATAACCATGAAGCATTGCTTCGCGTTCTTCTTCTTCGGTCAGACATCCCCCACAACCAGAACCGAGCCCCAAGTGGGATCTTTTTCAGTACTTCGAATTCATCTTGCTTCTTTCCTTCATCACAAACAACTGACGTGGGATTCTTTTTTCCCCTCATTGATAAAAAGGGAAAGAAGTGACAATAATTTTAAACTTCGGGATAGAGGAGGACAGAGATTTAGGGGTAATGTACCCAAAATCTCCAAATTGAAAACACGTATATACGCCATGAAATGCTAAGAAAACTCAAAACAATATTTGAAGAGATTCAAAAAGATTTGAAAACTACCCAGAAAGGTGCATAAAAGACTCAGAGTGCAGGTGCAGAAAGCTAAACACTACAAATCTCCAAGAACATTCAAATACATGAAAGATTCAATCGTGAGAGGAAGTACCTAAATGAAAAGATTTTTTGGAGTACGCTGTAATTTAAGCTCTCAAAAAGATGAAGATCAAAGAGCAGAATGCAAAACAAGCCCTTCATCAAAATAGCAAATGTAAAAGAAGAAGAAGGAAAAAAGGGAATATATATACTCCCATACATAATCGCAACGGTTTTCGAACGGGAAAGGTCAGGGGAACAAAAGTCATTACACCTAAAAGGTAATGATTAGGTACCTGAAATGACCAATGCATTTAATGCACACGAAACACGAAGACGACATAAGTTACGTGCAACACGCTAATGAATGCAAAAGTCACCATGCATAAAAATTGCATCATTGTTGCGGTAAATATAAATTTAATTACAAAAATATAATTGTGTGAACAACCGTGATATCAGGAACCTTAGCCGGGTTCCTATAAATGAGCATCTACACACAGCAAGCGATGGCAAGATTTACCGAACCCAGTTACCAAACAGATGAACCTTGGGGCAACTCATCAATTGGAAATGAAGCAATTCAAGTTCATATGCGACTCCGGTTAGATTGAAATGAAAAATATCTCGGTACGTTGAATATTCAACTTACCGAGATAGGGGGCAGATATATTACCCCTTAATATAAAATCCGAGAATTTTGAAAGTCGGATACCTCCCAAAAGGAAATCCAAGGCTAAAGCCAAAGGATGTTTACTCGACCATAGTGCATACACGAGGAGATCATAAGAACCAAGATTGGTTTTCCAAAGAACCCGGACAACCTTTGAAGAAATCCGGACAAATGCAAAATTAACGAAGATTTGGAATATTTACACCTTGGCAACCTGGACACCCAAACTGCCCGGCTAAGGGGCAACTGTTATGGACTCATATATGAGACTCGTTTATTGATAAGCCCAACAAGGGGCAATCCAAATATAAATCAGATATAGTTAAGGAAAGATATCCATCAAGGATACCAATCCTAATATGACATCATAATATATGGGTATGAGCTGTTATCAGAAGCACTGGAGATCCAAAATCCAATATTCACAGGTAAACTCTATAAATAAGAGGTAAAGCCTACAAGTACGTTATGCTCTATCTTGCTGTTATGTTGTCACTGTGCACACACACCCATTTGACAAAGTCGTTTATTGTTCTTCTGTGCATAGTGATTTGCTTGACTCAAGGATATCTAACTCATAAATACTTTAAAGAGGGCACCTAAATCCAAAAGCAACAAACTAGTTAGTCCATTAGATTAGACATCTCTGTCTTTAAAAAAGAAGAGTTGTACATATCAATAAGTCTATAACTAGTTAATTGCTTTGCAGCCATGAAATGTAAGTCTTCCTCTTTGCGGAATATATTTTGGACACTCCCATTGTACTAGGGACATCTTTTACCAAATATACTGAAAGATAATACTTTTTTTCATATCATTATTTTTATATTTATTTCTATCTATATCCCATAATTTTTTATTTTTGGAAGGAGTATGTACTCCCATAATATAGAAAATTAGTTCCCATCTGTGGGGAAGAAAAGTGACTGCCAACAGCAACATGTAACAAATGGCATTGCAGATATCGATTCTTCCAATATTTCTTGACCATGACAACCTGAAATTCAAAGTGAAAAAGTGCAAGTAAACTTTTTTTTTTCTTTGGCGCTTTCAGAATTCAGATCATTCACGTGCCCGAATTTTCCACATGGGAAAAAAAATTAATTAAGAATTTAAAAAGTTCTACTACTTTTCACCAAATATATTCACGTCCACGAATGCATAAAGTGCAAGCCAAATTTTCATTCGGATATTCAATCATATTATTCTGGCCATCCAATTTTGATAAGAATTTTTTTTTTAACTGAAAATTATAATAACGAAAATTATTAAGAAAAAAAATAGATAAACCGGATCCGGTGTCATTAAATTTTATTCTTTTTTTATATTTTCCTTTAAATCTAAAATAAAATAAAATTCCTTTTTAGTGAAAAGAAACATCGAGTTCGGTGTTTCCAGTGCATTGAAGTTTTTTCTCCTAAAATACACTTGTGGCTTGATTTCTAAGGATGTCTTCTAATGAGTTCATGCTTGTATTAATTTTAAAATGAGTCAAGCCAAGCCAAATTAGGTTGTAGGCTTTTGACAAGGCGCTTGACTCATTTACATAATGTTACAAAAATTGGACCGATCCGATCGTGTCGACCCAATAATCGGTCATATAATCGGTCCGATTTTCATATTGGATCAACCAGGTAATAGAATCGGAACGACCCGGTGTGACCCGACGGATTTTAGTAAAAACCGGTGACCCGGCCAGGTTCATTAAAAAAAAGTTTTTTCCTCATTAATTGATGTCTTTTTTTTCACTCACACACACACAAATGATTTGTTTTCTTTTGAAATATTTGAGAGATCTGTTACTTATTGAGTTACATATATTATGCACCTACAACACTAATTATTATCTTGGTTATGCAATATGCAGTGAATTTTGATTTGATTTATAGTTGGAGATGTCGTCTACTGAACCTGAAGCACCAGTATCACAAGTATTATATGTTTGATTGATCTTTTGTTGGACAATGATGTGTAATTTATTGTTTTTTATATTAAAATATTTGGAATTGGTATCATTTTTTTACAGGTATTTGAGTATATTTATAATTTTTTAATATAAATTATAGACTTACATATACTTACCGGGTTAGGCGGTTAAAGCAGTAACCTACTGATTAAACCAGTGACTCAATACCTCGACTGAGTCAATAACCGGAGCGAGTTTAATAATATTGTGTTTACACCACTAGATTCATTCATTAAGTTTTGTCGCCTTTATTGTAAATTTGTTTATTTCTTGTTTTTAAGTAATTATCTTTTCATATCTATGTTGTTCATCATTTTCTATTATTTTAGCTTGCAAATTAATAAATTAGGTATTTTTTTAATGTTGCATGTGTTTTATTTTATTAAAAAAATATATAAGAGTTTACCGAATATATATATATATATATATATATATATATATATATATATATATATAGGGTTTTATAAGAGTTATGTTGTAGAAAAGTGATTGTGTTATGTTATAGAGATTCGTTTTGCGTGCCGAAGTTTTTTTATTTTATTTTTGCTGCGGGCCCCACAAAATGTTGTGTGTGTAGAAAACTTTTTGTGGTCATATTAAATGATAGATGATAAATCCACATATATATATATATATATATATATATATATATATATATACACATATATATATATGTATATATATATACATATATATGTATATATATATATACATATATATGTATATATATATATATATACATATATATATATATATATAAGAAATTAATTGGCTATTTAAAAAAAATCAATTAAAATCTACGAACCCATATTTATTTTTCAAGAAACGATGAGACTTTAACTTTCACATTGTATCAGGAAATATGTAGCAGTGAGAGTTATCTCATAACATTTCTCAATTAAGAAGTTTTTTTTTTTTTTTTGGAATTCATCTTTAAGGTGAGAAAAAATATTTGTTTTTTTTTTGCACAGGGTGTTAATATTTTATCTTCTTGTAATTGATTTTTAAAACCCAACTTCATTTCAAAAAGACTAGTTTTCTTCAATAAAGAATTTTTTCCAATTTTATCCTACATTAAGTATACATTGGTGGCTACTCCATCTTATTATTGTTTGTTTTTTTTTTTTTTTTCGTCCCATCATGGTTCCAATTACTACAACTAGTGATTCTATCGGGAGGAAATTAGAGAGTGTAGTTGTGTCCTGGCAGCTGTAGCAACTGTGCAAGTTATTAAATGATAGAGTAGATTATCGTTTATACATGTTTCTTGTGCAAGAATCGACTCTATTTGGAGAAAAGAGAAAAATCTGAAGTATGTGGAATAATTGTAGTAGAATAAAAGAAAGCAATCAAAGAAACACTAAATTAACAGAACAAAAAAACAGGGAAAACAAAAAAGAGCATGATTTTGGTGACCCAACGTTAGTTAATATTATATTATTATTGTTCCTAGGGTATGAAAGTTCAGGTTGGATACGAAATCATTTTCTTAAAAATTATCTCATGCAAAAAAAAATTTAATTATATATAAATACTATATAATTATAATATTAAAATTGTTTTATTTTTCTCTTTTTTCAGATATTGTTAACTAATGTGACCAAAAAAAGTAATTTTACCATTATAACTATGACTTTAATGTTTCTACAGTGAACGTAGATAAGTTAAAAAATTATAATGAAAAAGACTATTATAACCCTGAAATAAATTATAATTACAAAAATACCTTGATTTTCGTCCCAAAACAACATCGTTTTAAGCTCAATGTAAATAACTTATAAAAGACGAACCCAATAACTATATACTACCCATAATATATAATTATTATTTCTTTTGCATGAGATAATTTTTTTCCAAGAACACAAGAAAAATGAAACTCATCTTGATATTGTATCATTACTTTATTTAGCAGTTACAACATTAAAAAAATTGAAAAATTTGTAATTCAAAATTCAGAAAGAAGTGTCACAGCAATTTAATAATTTAACATAAGAATTATATTTACAAATCGCATAATTGTCCAAAAGTCAACATATTAAGGACTATATTATAAAGCTTATCTAGTGCAAGCAAATGAAACTATACAAAAAAATAAGCATGAAGTGGTTGTGGATTCTATTGATATTATTCTGAACCCTTGTTACAGTTTTCAGGCCATTTCAATAACTGGATATTCAGAAAGAGGGAACAACACTATATCCAGCTTCTGTAATTAGAGTTGTGGAGAACATTTGATCCACTTCAGCTTCTACATCAGTTCTCTTTGCAAATCGACCTTTAATTCGGGGTCTAGTCTCTGCATAGGCCTTCCTTGAGGCATATCTGATTTTCTTTTCAAATTTTCTTGTCTTCTTTTTCTCTTTATATCTTAAAACTCTTGCCTCCCTGTAAGTAAGATAGGAAGGCATCAAAATGGGAGGTCCTGAAAATAGGTCCACTGTGCCTATTGAGGATTTTGAATGGGAAATTGAGAGATCGCTGATTGTTGATTCTGGTACAATGCCGACATCCGTTGATGAAATTGAGACCTGAATTTTTGAGTAAAAAAGAAGAACAAAATTTGGTTACATAGAGGAAAGTTATGAGATCACATGTTCATGAGATAACTTAGCAATATTCTAGTAGCCGTGTTCATGAAGAAAATTGTTCTAAAAATTCCCATTCCATGTAAGTAATTTTAGTTATGGTAATCAATCATTGCTAGAGCTGTAACAAAATCAAGAGACTATGGGGATGTTAGAATTCTGTTCTCATAAATAGTTTTTTAATTTTCAAAAAAAAAAAAAAAAAAACTAATTAATAATGTCCGTTTTGTAAAAATAGATGTGAAAATTATACCTATTTTTTAGTTTTTAGAATCAAATTTAGAAAATAGAATGTTTTTGATTGTGTTCGGATTTTTTTTGTTCTAAAAACTGTTTTCAAAATAGTTAATAAATAGGTATTCTCTATATATTTTTTTGCTTCGAAAGTTAAAAGTTAAAACACAAAACAAAAAAAACTCAGGTATGTTATCTAAATTTGATTCTAAAAACAGAAAAAATAACAGGTACAATTTTTAAAAAAAAATTTACAAAACAAGCCGTATAATGGGTTTCTTTTTCTGAAAATGAAAAAACAATTTTTTGAAATAAATTTCAAACAAGCTAGGTGTTTTGACTTTCAAAATAAAATAAAAAATATAAAAAATACCTATTTTATTAAGTATTCTGCAAAATAATTTTAAGAACATGAAAAAACAGAATACAATCAAACAAGACTATAAATGGGGTGCTTTCAATCCTTCCATTTAGAGTCTGTCCAGTGACATAAAAATAAACAACCAAAAAAACAAACAAACAAACATTAACATGTCTGCAGGGCAATTGGACGCAGAAGCATATTCATAGTGTTATAGGGCAATGCTAATATTGACTTTAGGCTCAATTAATAATTATCTATAAAGGAAATAAGGTATAATAAATAAATAAAAACAAAAATAAAACAAACAAACAATAACATGTGTGCAGGGCAACTGGATGTAGAAGAACATTCATAGTGTTCCAGGGCAAGGCCAATATTTATACTAGGCTCAATTAATAATTATATTCCAAGGACATATGGTATAATAATAAATAAATGTTTAATACAGTAAATCAGTGGCAGAAGTTTTCTTGTTTATATTAGGGGTAAATAAACAGCATAGAACTATTGCTAGGAAAAGCATGCCATGCAGATGCTTATTAATTAGATTGATTCGACAAAAGAAAAAAAAGAAGATAAAGGAGTAAAGAATCTGAAGACACCGTTATTGTTAAAAATAATCAAGTGTGAGTGAGTAGTGGTGAAGTAAGTTTCATATAGGCTAGACATAAATCAAGTGATGACCATATAAGTGCAAAAGACCCATAAACCTACAGCCTTAAGGTTTTGGGTTAAAATGTGGTGTCGGCCCACTTATTGTGGTTTGTCGCTTGGCCCATGGTTGTATCCCTTGCAATGGGTTTTGGGCTCCCCATATCATTCCCAACAATTATTTCTGTATGAAAACAAAACATGGGATGGTACAATTGCAATTAATGGAAAACAATCAAGTGGTTTGGACTTGCAAGGAAAAGAAACAACTAACGAATCCCAATTCTGGTAGCAATAGTATGCAAATCAAGGTGACAAAATAGGTCAAAGCAAAATCTGATATAAAGTAAAATTTCAAGCCCCACAATTTAGACCAATTTGAGATGTACATGAATTTGAAAGTGTACATAAATAACTACTAAACAAAGAGTACCAAAATTGATATAATAACAGAAAAGCAGAGAATAAACAGAGGAAAAAAAAGAAGAAAAAAGGGTAAGAGCCTTACACTTTGGCTTGCAGAACCATTGTAACTGAAGGCAGCTTTTGATGATTCAAACACCAGACCAGTTTGAAGTTCCATCTGATTCTGAACTGGAACAACACCATTCACTACATAACTCTTGTGAGGGACACTGCAATCATTATAATGAACAGTACTGAACTGTTTCTGATTGTCATCATCACCACCACATGAGTTACAATCCACAAGGTCCAAATACTCACCAAACAAGAACCCATTATTATTATTATCACTTTTACTCTCATTGTTATCATTCTTTGAAGGATTTAACAACAACCATGATGCAGCTTCTGCCTCATCATCTTCTTCATCAAAAACCTCTTCCTCTTCCTCTTCCTCACTTCCATTACCTACAAAACAACCATGATCTTGTTCTTCTTTATTAGAGAAAGGAAGAACAGGCACACGGTGGTGGCGACTAGCTAGTGGATTTGCTGAGTGTATTTCAGCATCACAAGAAGAACAAAGAGAAGCAGCATCAGCTTTGCATAGAAACGATGCAGGGGCACGTTCACAAGCTTCACACACAAACACACGTTTGTGTCTTGAAGCCATGAAGTTAGCTTCATGGATTTGAGCATCACAACGTGAACATAGGTACGCCGAGTCATCATGGCAGTACACGGTGCATGCTGCGGACCGGCACGTGTCACAGACACGTGACCAGTTTCCATTGACAATGTTTGTGCTACCTTCCCTCAACATGTGTTTGTGTTTTGTGTTGTGTGTTTTGCGTTTGAGATAAGAGTAAACAAAGAGTGGATGTGTGTGTTTATGTAACATGAGTGGTGGGAGAGAATCCTTTTGTGGCCACGTGGCAGGAATTTAGTGGTGTGGTGTTGGGCTTGCTTTATCTTGTGGTTGGTTCTGTTTCAAGAGGGTAGGACCCAGTGTGGTCCTTTAGCTCTTGGAGTCTTTGAAGAGGCGATAGGAACACGTGTCACTAATGGTTCCACAATGAGTCTCTTTAGATTCGGTTCATTAATTCTTTGTCATGGATGAGATCATTTTGGTATCTTCTTGCCAAGTTTGTAATATTTGTATTTTGTTGATAATTAATTGGAAATTAATTTCTTATGTGTTGTTTAATATGACTATGTAGAGAATCTTAATTATTAATAATTAAATAAATGATAATAATTTTATAATTTTTTATTCTTATATTTTCTTTTTGTCTTTATCATTATTGATCTATTTATGTATGTTAAAATTTTTCTGTATCACATAATTATGTTAATTAACATATAAGAATACGCGAGGGAAACAAAAATTCGGAGAGATCCATTTCCAAGATCTACCCTTTTTAGCAGTGGCAATAGTCTGAATTCTCCCCTTTTGGGAACAGTGACCATTTTATTATATTTTTATAAAAAAATTACTTAACTGTCACGCCAACAGTAAAATTTGCCAAAATGCCATGCATACAAGTTCGCTACAGCAGGTAGCGAACTTCATTTGCTGACATGGCAACCTAGTTCGCTACTAGTACTACCGAACTAGGTAATTTAAGCAAAAATAGAACATGTGTCAGTCTCTCCCAAGTTTGTTGTACCTTCTAGCAAACTATGAAAGAGAATGATATTTTTCTTTTTATCATTAAACAAGAACCACAGTTGCTCAGAGCCGCATAAGTTCAAAAATTTAGCCAAAGATGTTAAAGGCTCAGTCAAGCTAGGATCAGCTAGTTTTGAAGGGTCTCTTTCTAATGATCATAGAATTGAGATATATTAATTTTGCAGATGCGTCAGATTTGATTAAACAAAACTCTTACAATAGATCTCTCACCCTATTCTATTTGTTCTTCATCATCTTCTTCCACAACAACAATAATGTCAAAACAATGATGTCATATTATGAATATTTTTTCGTGTATATTCTTCCTCTACTGGGGTAATTATATACATAAATGAAGACTCTAGGTTCATTACAAATTAGCTGACAATCAGCTATGAATAAGGAAATGAAATAACCTGTTACTATTTCTATTTAATACAAATCTCTTATGATTATGTCAATCAACTACAAATAAGAAAATTAATCTATTTAATGCAAATCTCCTATGATTATGTAACTGTGTAATCAATGATTAAAATTCCAACAATTGTACAACTCAACAAATATTATCTCATTTCAACACTCCCTCTCAAGTTGGTGCATAGATATCAATCATGCACAACTTGCTAATTGCTTCTTCAAACATTTTTTCTGATACAACCTTTGTCAAGATGTCGGCTAACTGATCTTCAGATTTTATGTAGGGAAATTGAATAATTTTTTGATCTAGCTTTTCCTTGATAAAGTGCCTATCCACTTCTACATGCTTGGTTCTATCATGTTGAACTGAATTATGGGCAATTTCAATAGCAGCTTTATTATCACAATGTAACTCCATAGGCTGATTGTAGCAGATTCCTAAGTCTTGTAGGATGCTCTTAATCCACAACAATTCACACATTCCATGTGCCATTCCTCTAAACTTTGCTTTAGCACTCGATCTAGCCACAACTTTCTGCTTCTTATTCTTCCAAGTAACTAGATTGCCTTCAACAAAAGTAAAATATCCCGAAGTTGTTTGTCTGGTAGTTTTATCTCCAGCCCAATCTGAATCTGTGTAGCCTTTAATTTCGTGACTATTATTTTTTGAGTAAAGTAGACCTTTCCCTGGACACCCTTTTAAAAACCTCAATATTCGATACACAGCAGCCATGTGATCCTCACTTGGGTTGTGCATAAATCTGCTCACAACACTAACCGCATAAGCAATGTCTGGCCTAATATGTGATAAATAAATTAGCCTCCCTACTAGCCTTTGATATCTTCCAACATCAGTCTGTACTTGATCAGGATAAAAACCCAATACATGATTTATTTCAATTGGTGTTTCTGCTGGTTTACATGCTGTCATTCCTGTTTCTGCAAGTAGATCTAAAATATACTTTTTTGTGACAAAAATATTCCCTGATTTGATCTAGCAATTTCAATTCCAAGAAAGTACTTTAATGATCATAGATCTTTCATTTCAAACTCATTTGCTAAATAATTTTCCAATAACTGCATTTCAAATAAATCATCACCAGTCAAAACCATATCATCAACATACACTATTAACACTGTTACCTTTCCTCCATTATGTTTTATGAATAGGGTGTGGTCTGCATTACTTTGTTTGTATCCAAACTTCTTCATTACTAGAGAGAACCTGCCAAACCAAGCTCTAGGTGATTGCTTAAGGCCGTATAGTGCTTTTTTTAATCTACACACTTCATTTCCCTTCTAGTTGTCATGTTTGGCGCCTGGTGGAATTTTCATATATACTTCTTCTTCTAAGTCTCCATTTAAAAATGCATTCTTTACATCAAATTGCTTGAGTGGCCAGTCCCTGTTAGCTGCTATAGAAATCAGAATACGAATTGTGTTCAGTTTTGCTACTGGTGCAAATGTATCTTGGTAATCAACCCCGTATTTTTGTGTGTTTCCCTTAGCAACTAATCTGGCTTTATATCTATCAAGGCTGCCATCCGCTTTAAGCTTCACAGTAAACACCCATTTACATCCAATTGGTTTCTTCCGAGTTGGTAAAGGAACCAGGTCCCACGTTTAGTTTTTTTGTAAGGTCTTCATTTCTATATTCATGGCTTCTTTCCAATTTGGATCATCCAAAGCATCCTGCACATTATTAAGAACAAATATACTAGACAATTGATTAACAGATGCAATATATGATTCTGACAACCTATGATCTGACATGTAGTTACCAATAGGGTATTTGACCTTAGAGTTTGGATCTGGTTCATAAAGTTGTTTTGGTACACCTTTATTTTGTCTTTGCGGCACTCTAACAGGTAAGATGGGACCATCTATGCTAGTAATAGAAGGTCCATTTGAAGAAATAGGAGTAGGATTAATGTTTACCTCAGGTATGGATTCAGGAACATCCAGGGACGACGCCTCAGTTATAGGTGTTAGACGCGTAGCAAAATCATTCGTGGGAGGGGTAACATCCAGTTCAGGATTGTGTTGAAGAGTTATAATTTCTTCTCCAGTAGTAGGTATCTCCCCCTAAGAAGAAGTAACAGAATCTCCCCCTGAATAATATGGTTCTAATTCTCGAAAAGACACGTCCATGGTGACATACATTTTGTGGAGAATGGGATCATAGCACTTGTAACCTTTTTGTACATTAGAGTAACCCACAAATACACATTTTTTAGCACAAGGATCCAATTTGTTTTGTAATACCTTGTGGATATGGACATACACCGTGCACCCAAAAACACGAGGCTCAAGGTTGGGAATGTGAGGAATGGAGAAATAAGATTCCAGTGTATGTTGTGGAGTTTTAAAGTGAAGGGCGCTGGATGGAGTACGGTTGATGAGGTAGTCAGCAGAAACAATAGCTTCACCCCAATATGTTTTAGTCAAATTCATACTAAAAAGGGAGGCACGGACCACTTCTAGTAGTTGTCTATTTTTTCGTTCAGCTAGGCCGTTCTGTTGGGGTGCATAGGGGCAACAGGTTTGGTGTCGGATCCCCTGTGTGCTCAAGAAATCAATAAAGCGGCCATCTAAATATTTCATGCCATTATTAGATTTTAGAATTTGAACCTTAGACTGATCTTGGGTTTGGACCATGCTGTAAAATTTTTTGAAGGCATTAAAGACATCACTTTTGTGTCTTAACAATGACAACCAAGTCATCCAGGTACATTCATCAATAAAAGTCACATAATAGTAAGCTTTTGAGAAAGAAGACACCTTTCCAGGACCCCAAACATCGGAATGAACAACTTGAAATAGAATAGAACTTTTATTAGTACTAGGAAAATAAGGAACTCTGTGACTTTTGGCTAATTCACAAGTGCTGCATTCGCAATCACCATTATTAAAATGGAAAAATAACCGAGGAAATAACTTTTCAGATAACTAAAGGAAAGGTGACCAAGTCTTCGATGCCAAAGCCAAATGGTAGCACGAGACTGTTCTGGACCGGTTGTTGCACATGTAGTAGCCAAAGAAGGATGACTAGGATCAGGGAGCTCCAAGAAGTAAAGATGGCCACGTCTAACACCATAACCAAGAGTAGTCCGAGTGGGGATGTCCTGAGAAACAAAGTGAGAGGGAAAAAAGGTTACTGAACAGTTAAGCTTTGAAGTTAATTGGCTCACATATAGTAAGTTGTATTCAAGAGAGGGTACAACCAACACAGAGTCTAGAAATAAGCTATCAGAAAGGGTTAAGGATCCTTGACCAGTAATTTTTGAGGTACCCCCATTGGCAGTGGAAATAACAGATTGGGAAGAATTACAAAGATTGAACAACTGGGAAGAATCTTTAATCATATGATCAGAAGCACCTGTGTCAATTATCCAAATATTATTCCTAGACAATGTATAGAAAGCAAGAGACTTACCCAAAATACCGGATTGAGTAAAATTGGAAGCTGGGATAGGAGCATCTCTAGCGGAGACAATGGTCATGGCTTTGACAGGTATTTTCTTCCGGAGACGTTTATTGAAATTCAGAGGAGTTGAAGATTCAGAGGAGGTTTTGGGATTGTTTATGGGAAAATAGAAATTCGAAATGGGTAACAGGAAAAGAAATTCCAGTCAGGAAAATTGAAAAATACGATGTATGAGGTTGAATGAAAATAGGTTCCTGGATCAGAAATGCTCTGATACCATCTCAAAACAATGATGCCATATTATGAATATTTCTTCGTGTATATTCT